ATTTTTTAAATGTATTTATTATTTATTATTTATCTATATAGATTTGTGGAAAAAAGTATTTGTAACTGATAAAAATGTTATACATTTTTTAAAACAAGTTACAGTTGTTGATTTTCTAACTCAGATATAATCTTATTTTATTTAATTTATTTTTTTGACTTTATAATTTATATGCGTCCCACTGTCTGTTTTGGGTTATAACCAAAAATTGTTTCTCGCCCTGCAGTCTTTTTTTTTTTTTTATTATTATTTTCATTTTTGTTTTCTTTTTTGGGCCATGTGTCTGGGCCACTTTGCGTTGTCGTCGTCGTCGTTGAATTCGTTGTCTGCGCTCGAGTCGTTGTCCGAGGGCCGCCAAGGTGCTTATTAAATTCCTTATTTAAAAATACATTAAAAAATGCAAGAAGCTGCCCCAGAACACAGACCAATCCCCGAATGCGGCGAGTCAACTGAGTCAGCTGCTCCCCGGACTCTGCCACAGCGTCTGCTCTGATGCAGTCGCATCCGCTGCTGCAAGTTGTTAACCAATTTTTCAATCGATTTGATTTGCTTTTGATTTTGATTTTTGCAAATGTTGATTAAAAGCGCGCGTTGAAAATGTTTTCCTGTTTCTCTTGCCCTGCTCTACATAATCACCAATAAAACATTTCTGGACGGGGGTGTGAGCCACTTGTGGCCTATTAATTGCATGTTGCCGATGCAGTTGCAGTTGCAGTTGCAAGTTGCAGTTGCATGAAATGCAGAATGTTTGCAGTCCATTGGCATTTGAACTGCCAGCAGAGCGATGTGAGTTATGAGCTATGGGCAATATGGTTATGCAATGTTGGCCAAAAATGCTGCCAAGCACATTAACCTTGGCTGAATATGGGAATTCGACGTGCCTTTGGCCATTGTACGTGTGAACCACAATTGCGCTGCACTGCAGCTAATTGACATTGAGATGGCCGAGACAGAGAAGACGGCTACAAAAGGTCGATAGGCTGCTTGCTGCGTTCATCTACCTAAGCCCCGAGAGACAATGCCCACTGATAATTGCGTTCATTTGGAAGTTGCCCTTAAAATATGAATTATGATTGCAGCAGAACGTGTCAATTGCAGGACCTGCTGGCAGAGTCTCAAGGTCATTGTGGGACACAAAAAAAAACACACACACACACACACACTCATTGAACGAACAGGCAAACATTTGCGGCCTGTCTTTGCCAATGATATCGATCTCTTTTTTTTTTTTTTTTGCTGCATTTGACTTTGGCGTGGGCGCTGATACAAGCAACAGAATTAGCCAAACAAATTTAGGCCCCGAGACAGCCAAACACACACAAACTTGTGGTTGGCCCATATGTGTGTGTGTGTGCGTGTGGGGCCCAGGCAAATAAAGCAAATTTACGAATTTATGTTGAAATTTATCGATAATGACTTAAAAGCCTTCAGGACAATGATTTAATGGCTCCGCGCTCAACGTGTTCACACATAACACAAACAACAACAACAACAACAACAGCAGCAGCAGCAACTGCCCAACTCAAGTCAGCCAACTGGCCAATACAGGCGAACAAATCTGAAGTAGGTTCTCAAATCTTAAACCATGTTTAGATACGATAAAAACGGAATTTTTCATTATTTTCTTGCATTTTTATTTTGCATATGTGTGTGTTTGTTTATATACATATATATTTATTTGTGGTTGTATTGCTTCTCAGCTCTGACGGTCGCTGCAAATGATCGATGATCGCTGGAAGTGTGCGGCGATTTATTTATGGCTTGATTTGGTTTATACCCTCTGTGAATATTTTTGCGATGGAATCGGCTCGGCCGCCAAGCGAAATTATTGTTCACATTACAAATTGTTTCGAGTGTTGAATAAATCACGAGTGTAAACAATTTAGATTCAATATTGATTTAAATACAGATTTTGCGCACTGATGCGAACAGCAAAGAAATATGCTCAGATTAGAGATCAGCAGATTAACGTGAAAAGTGTTCAATCGGCAATAGACGTTTATTAAAATGGGAATGTAAATGAAATTGAAAAATATATATATTTGATATTTATTCAGTGTATGATTTTTGGTTATATTTTATAAATTATTTGTTTATTATATAAATAATTTTTATTGACTATTTATATACATATACGAATTACGAAGCTTAAACAAAAATATATAAATTGTATTTGATAGCTAGTCTGATAGTGCTGATTTAATTT